CTGCTGCAGAGGGAGGCAGGTACAAAAAAATTCTTCAACAACAGGTTAGCACTAGGCCATGGACAGCATTAAAAGGCACAATCCCAGGATACCCCTGAGTGGAAAGGAAAATTATTTTGATTCCTAGATGTAATGATACAGCGCAATATTAAGTTAAAAAAAAACATTGTTCTCCATTCTGCTATCAAGACTTCAGCATGTCTTGTAAAGCAAGGTTTTTTTGCTCCTCTGTTTATAGGGGACCCCCGAGCAGGATCTAAGATTGATTACACAGACACATAAGCTTAAAGACAGACAGTTCCCTGCATCTCCAACCCATGTGCTGTCTGATCTCTGATATGGGACTAAAGGAGATATTAAACACACTTATTTCTCTATTACTGCCCTACTGCCCTCTGGTTTGTATCCCTGAGCAGAGACAAATGCTTAGCTGAGCTCCTCTGCCCTCTTCCAGTGCCCTTTCCAAGACTGCTTCTGCTTAAAATTCTTATGCTATAGAGAATAATAGCCTGCTGAGAAGGAGAAGATATTGCCCATCATAAATAACCAGGGTCAAATATGAATGGTTGCAGAAGAGATGCATTTGTAATTGCACAGTTTATGTGCCCTGAATGTCTAAGGCACCAAATATCATCTCTCATTCACATTTATTTCCAGCCCAATTCAGCAGATAATTTCTCTAAATCACTTGTCATTTTAAAAAAAATAATGAAATTATAAGATATGGGCTTTTATATTATTATAATCCTTTGGGAGGCTTCAGATTTTCAAATCTTTCTTCCTTCCCAGGATCTAGGATGACATGTCACAGTGGGTGCTAAACAAAATGATCATTAGTCCTTTAAGCAGGCAAATTCCAAAGGACATGGGCAGAATAAGATGGAGTTCAGGGGCTTTTTTTGTTCTTTGTGGTTAACTCATGAACATTTATAAGTAGAGATGGATGAGCTCTTTCAGATAAAATATGGCCCTTTGATCAAACTCAAATGGCACCTTCTCTGGGGCAGAAGGAAAGAGAAAGGGACTCTCAACTTTTCTAATTACAGAACTTGAAGTGCTAACGTATCATCACTGTTGGAATAGTAGCCATCACTAGAATGTCCTCATACATCTCACATGGTATGGATTCCCCTCGCAAACATTTATAGTCTATGTGAAGCCAGTACCCCATGACTTCAGCCTGCCCATGGAGCATATTGTGTGATGTACGAAAGCTGGACCAAGAGGTAGATTATTCGCTGCTTTCTGTAAATCAGTAGCTCCACATAACTGAGGCTGAACTGTTCTTTGGATCAACATCATTGCATGGTTTTCATTCAAGTTTATTACTGGTGGAGCACATCTAAACAGGGCATAAAGTAAAGGACTCTGCATCTGCAAGGTTCCTAAAAGAACTCTGCCTCCGAGTCTTTTGGATCCCAACACACAGTATTTTCCCTGATTCCATTTCCCTGGTTCACTAAAGCAACCAACAAGGCTGGAGAAAGAGAGACAGAAAAATACCATGTTTGTCAGGTACATTCCCTTACATCAGTATAGGATAAATATTGCTGTCTTTGCCCTGGACACCACTAATGAGGCAAAGTAGCTTTCAAGAGGCTCTAGGGGCAGCTCTCAGTTCCGCTCTCACTTGTTTGGGGTTTCCATTATGCACTTGGATTAACCTCCAGGGAGTTATTCCTCATGCATGCACTGGGGTGGGGAAGAGTAGCTTCAGACAGGTTGTGATTTCAGTCACTCTGTTGCTTGAAGACCCACCAGCCATGGGAGCCCAGAATATGCTGCTCAGTCAGAGACATCACAGAAGTGGAAGAATCCACATGCTCACAGGGTGGGAAGAGGAATTGAAAAATGAGTCTCTCACTTTGCCAGTGACTCATGTGCCAAAAATTAATAGGGGTTTTCAGCTACCTTGTTGAGTGATATCACACAAACAGTCCACACAGTGAGTAGGGCAGTTATCATCTAGCACAGACATATACCAGCCTCCGTACTCTCTGCTTTTGATAGTGTGTCCTGAAAATAAACAGATACCATTCGTTACATATCCCAGAGGTGGATCATTGGATTCCTAGTATGTTATTTCAAAGGATTTGGTCATTATGGTCCAGCACTTCCTCCCTAATCAGTTCCCTGCCTTGTTTGCCACTACCCTTCTCAGTTTGTCATAGATAACAGTGTGAGAGAATTGTTACCGTCCATTTATAGAGGGCATACCCAGAGACACAGTGCTTTGTGGCAACTGCATCAAACTTATCACATGGTCTCTGAAGTCAAAGATCTTATAGTCCACAGGCTGGCATCAGTGGAAGTTATACCACTGTAAACCAGCCCATAGCATGGAATGAGGTCATATGGCCTTTCAAACAGCTGGGCTTTCAGAAGATGTGGAGTGGAAATGGGGAAGGCAATCACTTGCATGTTGGTTGAGAATAAAGCAGGGGGAGAGGTGCAGAGGTAGGAAAAGAGTTAGTACCTGAGGAGGAAACAGTAGCTCCCCTGATCCACAACCCACTAAAATCAATGGGAAGGTTTGGATAAACCCATAAGCTTTGGATCCTAAGTAGCACTGACAGAAAAGGGTTGATGGCAATGTGGAGGTTCAAAACCAGCTTTATACCTAGAAGTCTGATAACAGACCATAGGGCAAGACAAGAGGAAGACATGAGACCAGCTGAGCAACAACCCTCTAAAGCAAACAGATTTTAAGTAAACACTCCCTGGACAATGAGCTGCTTTGGGAGAATTTGACTTAAGTGTATTGCTGCCAGTATCACCCCCACACTTCAGTTCTTAAAACAAGAACTTGTGACTATACAGGGTGTTTATAAAGTCCTTGTGCAACTTTAAATTTTAATAACTTTGGATGTACATGATAGAAGCAAACTGTAAATGGCAATTGAAAGTATAATTCCTTAAGCTTTTTAGCATAGTGTAAGCTATGCATAGGGTAAGGATCACCAATGCAATTCATGAAACCACTCAGCAGCAACTAGAAAATGTTTTTATGAGTTGGGAAATTTCCAAGATTTCATAGACTTTAGGGCTGGAAGGGACCTCAGGAGATCGTCGAGTCCAGCCCCCTGCCCTCAGGGCAGGAAGTCAGCTGGGGTCAAAGGATCCCAGCAAGATAAGCATCCAAACACTTCTTAAAGGAGTCCAGAGTAGGTGCTTGCACCACCTCTGGAGGGAGCCTATTCCAGGACTTAGGGGCTCAGACAGTATAGAAGTTTTTCCTTATGTCCAGGAATTGGATTGAATGATGCATCACAAAAGACAGCAGTTATGTTGAAGTCCAGAAATTGGCTGTATGAGCTGTATTGTGTTAAAACTTGTGCTTTCAACTGCCATTTACAGTTTGCTTCCATCATGTACATCCAAAGTTATTAAAGTTTTTAAAGTTGCATAAGGACTTTATAAACACCCATTATTCTTAGATTCCTCCGGTCAATGAGCAGGTCAGTGAAGATAAGCTGGCCTGAGAATTGTATGTATTTCAGGGACGGGCAGGGGAGAAAGCGATCTCTTTGGAACTCAATAATATAGCAGTGACTGCCCATAACAGTCTGGAAGTGAGGGGTGGAGTTGATCCTCCCTTGTTGTTGTAGCTAGGCAGGGATTAGGAAGTGCCTTGATGCTGCTCGCAATGAAAAAAGCCACAGGAACTAATAATAAACAAGGGAAGACAATGCCTAGGAACTGAACCATCAGCTCAGCCGCTCTGCTGACAATGGCAGGGGCCACTTTCGGATGCCTCTCATGTTAGAAAGATTCCCACTGTGTGAACAAGCAGTGACAGAACTTTCTAATAGTCTAGAAATAAATGGGGGGAAAAAGTTTCACCATAGCAGAAATTTCCCAAAAATGTATTTAAGCCTAATCAGTCCAAAGACCAGTGAGTCTTCATTGTTCCAACATCCCCCATGGGCTTCAGTAGGCTTTGGATTGGGCCCTTATGAATAAAGACGGAAAGATACGTTCATGTTACCTATTTAAAATCACCCTTGTCTGTTGTACCTGTGGGAAGCCAGTCACTGGAGGCCTGATCCCTACTGAGGATCTAGTCATTCTTTACTCATCTCCCTGATAAACTAAATAGGTTGAACTCCTGGAGGTCCTCACTGTAGGGCTCTTCAGGCTAGCAGACCAAGATATAAACAACAATATCCATTGGCTGGCAATTGAAACTAAACATATTCAGATTTAAGATGGACATTTTTAACAGATTAGTTTAAGTAATTAACACTGGAGCAATTTGCCAGCATGGTAAATTGTGGCAGATTCCCCATCACCAGACTTTTTAAATCCAGATTGGATAATTTTTCTAAGTAGATGTGCTGTAATGCAAACAAATTCTGGAAAGTCCTCTGCCCTACATAAAACAGGATATCAGACTGGATGGTCATAATGGTCTTTTCTGGCTTTAAATCTTTGAATCTATGATTTTGAATCCAGATTCAGATACCACTAAAACATTTAGATATGAGGTTTTGGCCTTGATTCCAAGCATTGTAACTGGTATTATTATGGTGTTCTCTTTATCTAGAGGATGTGTTCCTGGAAAGCCCATCATCATCATCATCATCATCATCATCATCATCATCATCATCATCATCATCTCTAAGACCTATTTTTAATTAGCATTGTTAGTAATAATTATTTTAGTGCCATCCTTTTGAGGTGGTTGTATTTGAGAAAAGGCAAACCAGTTCCAATTATTTCAAACCTTTGAGTTGAACCAGAGAACCAAACTTTATGGGAGATGTGAAGAATTTTCACCTCACCGCCTCTTATTTATACTTTCATACTTGCCTCTGAATTTATCAAGAAACACCAAGAAGCTCTGGAAATCTTGCTGCCCTGGGCTAACAGCCTTACTGGGTTTGGCTGTCACTGGCTGTGTCTAGACAGTACATGGAAGTCTCATATCTGAATAGTAATGATGATACGCTTACGGTGGTGGGATGGCATGCAAACTGATGTGTTCCTTTTATTTCCAGTGCCTACACTGAACCTTACAAAGTGTGCCCTATCTCCATGATACCTGTGGAGGATGTCACATCAGATGAAGAACAGAAAAGTTCAGAGGATGAAGAAAGCAGCCAGGGGGATTCGAGCCTCATCCATAAGGTAAAAGATTTAGAACAATGTAGGAAATATATGAATTGCTCCTGGAGAAAGAAAAGGAAAATTAAAAGCAAACTAGGAATTTTCCAAAAGTACAGTTTTATCTTTCAGAAACCATAGACTCATTGGAAAGTAAATGCTTGGCATAAGCATGTCAGCTTCAAGAAAAGTGAAGAGTTTTAAAAAGAAAATCTGACAAACAAAATTGTTTTGATCAGGTTAAAAAACCGTTTACCCCATCCAGAATGAAGCATTTGAACTTTCAGTTTCTAAGTGAGCTTTTCATTGCATTTTTTCCTGTTAGATTATATAATATGTTGCATAGCATAGCATTTAAAAAAAACATAAAATTCAGAACTATGAATTTCAATCTGATCTAAATAAAAAGTTTTGAATAACTTGACATGAGCAACTTTTTTCAGAAGTTTGTTCCACAAGAAATTACCTTTCTTTTTTTTGTTTTGATTTTGAACGGGAAAAAGTTTTGAGTTTGTTATGGAACTATATCTGCAATATCTTGTCTATCTGCTGCAGTATCTAACCTCTGGTTGAGTCCCTCAGTGCCAGTGTTAACTGGGATGCCACAGGAGAACTTAAGAGAAACTTGTGGCTCAACTCCAGTGTGAAGAGAGGAAATTTGCCTTAAATTTGAGGGTGACTTCCAGCTTCCATTGGGACATCTACACAAAATGCTACATCACTGTAGCGCATTGCTACAGTGACATAGCATAGCCAGGCATGAATTGTGATGCCAATGCTACTGCGCAGTAGCTGCTAAATATAGCTGTGCTGCATCAGGACTGCACGGTAATACTCATTACTGCGCAATCATTTAGTACTTGCTTAAGTAAGTATTAAATGACTGTGCAATAACAGCTGCACAGTCCACTGCATGTGTAGAAGCACCCCGTGAATTTGAATTTTGTTACCATGTTTCTCAGAAGACCCTGGAAAATTATATTTTTTTAAATGCCTCCCTCACAGCACTCCACAGTTTCTAATGGACTTGCTGTGCTTGGGTAGCAACACTGTTTAAATCACACAGCTGGAAGGCAGCATATATAAGGCTTAGCAAGAGCAAATATGCACTTCAGGTCTCACTCCTACTCCAAAGCCAAACTAAAATCAATTATCTGCCTCTGCAGGGCACTAAAAGCTAGTACTGCCGGGCCAAGGCAAGAATCCCTGTCTGACTGCACTTGGACTCACAGGCCAACAGTGGTCACAGCACTTTTATTGAAATCTCAGCATCTGCAAGCTCCTGGAAAGCTACCTAAAAGCAGCACCCTCTGATTCTTGGCCACCTGGCTGCTGAATCAGCTCTCGAAGGGTATGGCTACACCGCAGTGTAGAGCAGAGACATGCGAGTTAGGTGCAAACAAGGGTACTGCAGGCAGGGCAGTATTAGCAGTTTAACCACAGCAGCACAGAGCTCAGCACTGCCTAATATACCCTGCTATGATACGTCTTCTGAGGTAGGGCTGCAACTTGGCACAGTAAATTAGTCCACACTGAATGGCCGTGTCCAGATCGTTTCTGATAGCCAAGCCAGATCATCTACAGCTAGCTCAAATATCTCTATACTATGTCCTGCAGTCTGCAGTGTAGATATACCCAAAGTCACAGCTTGTGTATTCCTGGCTTCACAGAAAACAGAACTTGTGAGCACCAAAGGCTGGAAACTAGAGATTCACCTCTGGCTTAGCCACTTGTTTGCTGGAATTGCATCATTACAGATTTCTTCCTCCAGCCCTGCCGAGTCTTCACTGTCAGTCGGCCCACCATGATTGATTGTGAATGGAATGAATCCCATCTCTCCATAGCCCTTGCCTCGGAGAATGCCGGTATCTTTGCAGAATACTGACAGTGGATTGTATTTCCTGCCCCCTCCCCTCCCGCCTCCTTTTGTTGTCTTCTCACGCAAATCTTCTGGGTGCCAAGGGGACATTAGCTGCTCTGTCAAAACCCAGCCTTGCAATGATGAAGTACAGAAAAATTGTTCAACTACCGGATGAAGTGATGTATCCCTCTTGTAGCAAGCTACTCAGTGCAACATGAAGCAGTTGTAAAACATGAAAGAGTTCAGAAGCACTGTCGTTCTGGGAGAACTGGCAGAGGTCCTTAGGTCCAGATGCCAAAAACAGTACCATGGATTTGGAAATGAGCTAATCTTGTTAAAACAACTGTTTTGGGCTGGCCTAGCAAGAGTTGAATCTGGATTTTTTTATTTAAATCCCTGGGGGTTGTTGTTTTAGTTTATAGTTTCCCCATCCTGAGAGAAAATTAGCTTGAATAAAGGCATGAAATCACCTAGTTGATAAGATCTTTTTACTGTGTCCAGAATATGCAATTCTGACTTGTGTCTGGCTGGATTAGGCTTACTTCATACTAATGACATGTGGATCATGAATAGCTAGGTATGGTGCTTTCCTCTCTTGCTTTCCTTTTTGTTGCCTACTGGTTGGAGATTTCCAAAGGGGTTCCAGTTTGCAGGGGGGGAGGGTTTCTCCCGGTGTTCCTTTTTTAAGGTTCATTTTACAAGTTAAAAAAATCTGCTTTATACACAGTTTTCCTGGAATTGTTTCAACAGCTGGTTCCCTTTGAATCTGTGCTCTCCTGGGGATGAGCTTCAAGTGAGTGCAGAGGAATGTTTAGGACTTGCTGGCACCCTCTGTCTGTAAATAATTTGAATCCCAGCCAACATCAGACATTTGGGGTAGTCTTGGTGCAGCAGTTTTAGAAAACTGCTACAGATTTTTCTTCACAGTGGTCCAATATTCTTAGACCGGCCTAGGTCTGGCAGAGGGAAAAAACACAGAGCAATTGAGGCTTCTCGCTTGTGGTTCAGGAGGATGTGTTGAACTTTGGTAGACATCTTTGGAACTGGATTTAAATAAAAATAGTGTGAAGAAGTGGAACACCAGGCCCCCGTTTTGATTTATCTTCTTTAGTGTCACTGGGTACATCTACACATGTAAATAGCATGTAGCAATAAACTCCGGTGCAGTTTGTGCTGGAATATATTGCTCCTAGGTACAGCGTTTACATGTGCACCCAGGACCACAGCACGTTGAGCCAAGGTGGAGCAGCCCTGGCTGGCAGGGGGTCCCCGGGGTCAGCATGCCAGCTCAGGTCTGCTCCAACCTGGCACTGTGTGCTGCAGAGAGGCTTGCTGGGGCACCAGTATGCTACAGGGTGGGGCTAGCTGGTAGGCAGCCCCCACACTGCAGCACCCTCGTGCCCCAGCCAGCCCCGTCACCATCTACACATGAGTTTTGTCATGTGTAACTACTGCTCTGTAAGACAGTACAGTGCTTGTGTTGGGCAGTACTATCCTACAGCAGAGTTAATGTACTGCACACTAATAGGAGCACATATGTAGACAGAGACACTTTAGTCCAGCGCTAGTTAGTCAGCTCCTTAGTAAAGCATCTTCTGTAGATGCACTCACTGATTGTATCCTAAACCCTGAGCGTGCATCATCAGGAATCACTTGGTGCTCTTGGTTCTTCTGTTTAAAACTGATTTTGAGCATCTACTTTTGTTCGTCAAGCAAGGATTTGAAGTCCCTTCTTTAATTCTGTGACAAATGGTGTCAGGCTAAGACAGCTAAGGGGCTATAGATTTGTTCTAGTCTCTGTAGGTGCCAGTAGAGTGCAGATGTGCCAGGAGGCTGCTCTGATGCTCTGTAATTATCATGCTCCAGCCAGCCTCCACATCTCATGCATTAGTGTCCCTGAACTTCAAAATGACAGCAAGGGTGCTTGTTCCAAAGTGCCCCCGCTGCCATTTTGAAGCATGGGGATGCTGATAGACAATATGCTCTAATTAAAGTGACCCAACCCCAGCCCCGGAGCACACGTAAAAGTGCCCTGCAATTCTACACAGTTGAAGCTCCATCTAGTACTAGAAAATATACATGAGTACATTGGTACTAATGTAGTACTGCATCTGTATTAGAGAAACATCTGAAACCTGGGATTCAAAACCACAAGCCACCTTTTCACACAATTAACTTGACCCAAACCCTAACCTCTGCAGCTGGTCCTCATTGCTCTAATGGTAAAATCTACTACCCTGGAGCCACACAGTCTTGAACTATAGAAAAGTTCATATCTAGGTAGGAGTGCTACCATTCAGACCACAGAGTGCTCCAGACTCCAAAATTGCTCTCGCTTTGCCAGCACTTTCACTTTCCCTTTTCACAGCTGTCTCTGAGACTTCCTACTTTCAGCCAGGCTCAGAATTAGAACCAAGTTTATTTCTCGGAAAGGCTGATCCTGTGATACTCCACCCAGAGGAGGTCTGAAGAATCACAAGCTTTTGAGCTTCACCCATCACTGTCTTTGATTTGAATTCCCCAGAGTATCCCAAGAACTGGGGGGAAGATCCTCCATTTAAGAACATAAGAACATAAAAATTGTCATTTACTGGGTTAGATCCTAGCGACCCCTAGATGTACTTTTTTCTATTGAAACCTGGAATTTCTATCCATAAAGATTATATGGTACCTCTCTTACCAGTTGGAAAATCCACTCTATTGGATTTGGTGCAGTCTTTGATGTAGAGTACCACTCCTCCACCAGTTTCATAGTTTGTAGGGTCAGAAGGGACCTGAACAGATCATCAAGTCTGACCCCCTGCCATGGCAGGAAAGAGTACTGGGGTCAAACGACCCCAGCAAGGTGATTGTCAAGCCTTGTCTTAAAGACCCCCAGGGTAGGAGCCAGCACCACTTCGCTTGGAAGTTGGTTCCAGATCCTGGCCGCCCTGACCGTGAAGTAGCGCCTCCGGATGCCTAGTCTGAATTTACCCTCTGCCAGCTTGTGACCGTTATTCCTGGTCACTCCTGGTAGTGCCCGGGGAAACAGGGACTCCCCCAATGCCTGCTGGTCCCCCCTGACTAGTTTGTAACAGGCCACTAAATCCCCCCTCAGCCTTCTCTTGTGGAGGCTGAACAGGTTCAGGTCCCGTCGCCTCTCCTCGTAGGGCCTGCCCTGCTG